CAAAGGTCTACATCTGACAAATGCCAAAAAAACAATACCAATTTTTGCAAACTTTGACGAATTTTTAAAGCTGAACCTGTTGTCGTAGGGCCGTAATATTTTAGTATGATATAGAAGACTATGGTATCTACCATCAAAAAAATAATCATAAAAATCGTCGAAATTTTTTTTTTAAAAACTTTATTACAAGAAAACGGCCCGGCCGATCTCTACCAAAAACTAATCAGCACGATTCCCAACCAATATCTTTCGAACGATTTTTGAATTTTCAAAATCGATTCATAACTGCGGGCTAAAACGTGGACGAAAGAGTTTTCACTTCTCTGCTATTTACGAAGAAACGGTTTGGCCGAATCGTCGCACAAAACTGACAAACAATAGTCCTCATCGAGATACATCGAATGGCTTTTAAATTTTTGAAATCGGTCCAGCCGTTTTTTGAGAAAACGGCGATTTACGGCAAAAAATCTGTTGGTGCACACGCACACACACACATACACACACACACACACATACTTTTTCCAAATTTGGTCTCATTCGATTCAGAATGGCTTGAAACGTCGAGAAAACATAGAATTAGCGAATCGGATTTTTTTTATGAAAACATAAACTTCTCCTTCGGGAAGTTAACTAGTGGTGTATGGCTTCGAGGATTGTTAAATGTTTTCAAATATATTATTATAAATACTGCAATTTTTATTATTCGTATTTTATAGACAAAATAAAAGAGCTTATGAATTGGGCGACGAAGTTTATATATGTTTACACAAAAAGATAAAAACTTAATCAAGCGGAGTTAGAGTATGTTAATGGAGTTAATGAAGGAACTTACCTCACATTTCTAAGAATTATATAAACTGAATTATATAAGTATATACTGAAGTATATAAGTGAATTTTATAATTTTAGATAGAAAAAATATTTTTTTTTATTTTATTTTAGAGAAATAATTTTTTTCTTCCTAAATTAATCGTTTCTTCGCAAGCAAAATGTTTTTGGAATCATTCGAATCCAAAGCTTTGTCTTCTTAAAAACTCAATTTCCATTTTCTGCACTCTTGCTTCATGTCTCGGAAACGGCTGGACCGACTTCTGCCAAAAACTAATCAGCACGTCTCCTTATCAATAGGATTCGAATGTTTTCTGAATTATTCCGGTTAACCCGTATTACCACATAAACACACACACATACATAAATTTTTTTAGGTGCAAAATCACAATCAGAAACCTTCAGAAAAAATTAACATTTTCAATTTTTTGCGATTACTATAACTTCCCCTACGGGAAGTTAATATTATAATATAAAATTCGTGTGAAAGGGACTTTATTAAATGAAATTACTACAAAATTTATTTGGTTGTCTCTAAAAAGTAAATTTATCTCAATTTGTTTTTAATTTCCTGAAGAAGTTTGTTTTCTAAAAAATCCGATTTGCTAATTTTATGTTTTCTCGATGTTTCTAGTCATTCTGAATCCAATGAGACTAAATTTTGAAAAAGTATATATGTGTGTATGTTTCCCCAAAAACGGCTTCAACGATTTCAAAAATTCAAAAGTCGTTCAATGTAACTCGATAAGGACTAGGGTTTGCGAGTTTTGCACAATGATCAGCCAAGCCTTTTCTTTGTAAATAGCAGTAAAGTGAAAATTTTTTAGTCCACGTTTTAGTTGTCGTCAATTATTACATCTATCAGGAAGTTTTTGCAACTTGCCTTAAGGCAAAATGCTACTTTCGACTAGTTTTAGTTTCTTTTTGTCAGAAAATCCTACATGCTAATTTTATGTACTCTAGACATTTTAAGTCATTCTGAACCGGTTGACACTGAAATTAATCTCATACCATATACTTAGTGTGAGATTTTTTTTCCGAAATCTGACCTTTCGTTGACGTTTTTTTAAAAACGACTGCACCGATTTTAAAATTTAAATACCATTCGATGAAACTATTTTTAATGTTAAAATGAATTTATAGTTAAGTTAAAATTCTATTAAGACAATTTTCTGGGAAAAGAAATAAGAACGCGACTTATGCGAAAAAGGCATTTGATAGAATATGGGTAATATGTTCCTAAGATTAGAATCAGGTGTAAAGTGATGCAGGAAATCGTATTAACATGATTTTCTGAACTATGCTCTGTTGCATTTATATATAATTCCTTATGTGATGTATTATGCGGGAAATCGTATTAAGCATTATTCTCTTAACGAGGTTCTTATTGCTTTTATATATGAAGCCTTGTCTATTGGCAAGTAGCTAAAAATAATTCGTGGTGGTGTACGGCATCGTGTCTTGAGGCAATTTGCTGGAACTTCCTGAAATTTATGAAAAAATAGATTTATTGGAGAATTTTGATTATTTTTTAAAAAAACATTGATGAATCAAAATCTGGAATAAATTATTATCTATGGTTTATGGCAGATAGATATTTATTGAAAATCAATTCTGGACAAACTAAGATCCTAATTAAGGAATTTTTCGAGATCTGTTTGATTTGAATATTTTGGTCAAACTATTATTGAAACCGGGCAGAATGTATTATTAATGTAGAACCAGTTGAAGTGCACTTGTGACGTCAACTTTATTTGGTAATATTGCCTTTAGTGGATTTTAGTGAATCTATCTAAATTTTTGTGAAATATGGCCAGATGCGGAATCTTTAAATGATAATTTTGAAAATCTTGTGTTTTTTTATAGGATTGACAACAAAAGTTGGTAATAAATTGGTCAGTGCAGTCAGTCACTTGAAGAACTCTCCAGAACGTATTTTGAGAGTATATATTTGAGTATATCATACACATTGAATTTTTTTTGAAAATTTTAATAATTTTTGAAAATGTTGAAATATTTAAGTGGTTTGATCTATAATGTTGAATCATTTAAATCGGTTGTTTCTTGCACCCGAACTCGTTGAGGGAAATTTGTATCCGCACATACATACACACATCTATTTTTTCTGATTATAAGATATGCCAAAATGTTCAGAAACTTTTGAAACGTGAAGATGTATACAAATTTTATTTTCGATTTTTTGCGATTACTATAATTCCTTACGGGAAAATAAAAAGCTCAAATTTTTCAGAAAAATTCAAAACAATAAAAAAATGTAACTTTTAAAAAAGTCATTTTTTCAAAATTTTCAAAAATTCTCAAAAATCTAATTTTTTCATAGTTTCCAAAAATTTCAATTTTTGGTCCGGAAAGTTCCATCAATTTGCCTTAAGGTACGATGATAGAAGCCACGACTAGTTTTTATGATCGATTCTATCGCAATTTGATCCTGCTAATTATTTTTAATGCTTGTCCTGTCTTTGAGAACAAGGCAGTCCGCGACCTGAATAAAAAGCTTTCGCACAACATTATGGTAAATGTGTTGACGTTTATCATTCACATAAATAAAAGTGGAAACTAGTCTAGAATATATATATATATATATATATATATATATATATATATATATATATATATATATATATAACAATGATATATAGGACACTTTGAAAATTATGTCTATCATTCATATCTACTATTGTATATCGCATATATGTATATATCATTTTACAAATTACATGCGTATATATCCGAGCAAATTTTTGCAAAACAGATAAATTACAATTATATTCGCTTACACATAATGTATATATATATATATATATATATATATACATGTATGTATATATGTATATATGTACATATACACATGTATATATCGTGGGCCAGATAATAAATAATTTTGATATTTGCTAGTCCCCCGTTGAGTTGAAATATTGCGGTTCATTTATACAGGAATGTAGGTGTATATATACATTTATATATTTATATACCTAAACTCACACACACACATACTTATATATATTCATATACATATAAATATATAGATATTTTATTTTGAATCTGCTAAATCTAAAGAAGCGCCTCAGCCGATTGTCGCGAAAAACTAAAGGTGATTCTTTATTGACGTGATTTGAGTTTCAACAAATAGCTTATAGCAAGAAAACGTCGAAGATAACAAAAAATTTGGTTTGCGCGTAGAGACGAAATATCAAAGCGCATAAGCGCCGCGTAGTCGTCTAACATGTAAACATTAGTGCGATACCCATATAAATGTACAAAAAATTTTTGCCTTTTTATTAACTTCCCGTAGGGTAAGTTATAATAATCGCAAAAAAATCGAAAATGAAAATCTTTATATATCTTTACGTTTCAAAGGTTTTTGAACATTTTGGCATATCTTAGAAAAAAATGGATGTATGTGTGTGTGTGTGGATACAAATTTTCGTCGACGAATTCGAAAACATTCGATTCTTACTGATAAGGAAACGTGCTGATTAGTTTTCGGCAAAGGCAGGTCAAGTCGTTTTGAAGATACGGAGCAAAAAGTGCCAAAAATGGTATTTTCAGTTTTGGAGAGAACAGAGCATCCGATTTGAATAATTCAAAAAACATTTCATTTGTATTGACGAAATGGAGAACAGATGAAATTTTTGGAAAGGCAGGTTTAGCGTTTCTGATGTTCCAATAAAAAAATGCCATTTGTCGGTTAAAAATGTTTATTTGACATATGCGCATCAAGTTATCACATTTTATAGATATTTTAATAATGAGAACAAATTTTGTTCTTATTTCTATGGGTTCCGTACCAATGTTTATCCATTATAGTGCGAAACGGCGCTTACGCGCTTCGAATTTTCGTTTCTATGCAACTACAGTATTTATTTATAATAATCTATTTGAAAACATTAAATATTCCTCGAACATTTCGTTACGGTACGGGAAGTTCAAGCAATTTGCCTTAAGGCACGATGCCATACACCACTAGTTCTTTAAATTAATTTCTTTCTACAATCATAGCAATATCTCTTATATAATCAAAATGTAAAAAATAATGACTAAATCACAATATTTCTAATGAAAAATTATTATTCTCTTATTAGGACTTCTCATGAAAGTCTTCAAATAAAAAATAGTTTTCTATTATTTAATTATGTGATTAATTTGAATATCTATAAATATTTTATATTATCTTCGGGCTTGTCGAGATAATCAAGTGCAGCTTCAAATAAATACTCATACTGTTCCTGCAAAAGATATAAAAATTTATAGGATTATTTGTAGTAGAATAGATATGGATAAGTAAATCCCTACCTCTTTTCGAACAAATTCCTTCCTGTATTTCCTGATGGTCCTTAAGGCGAGTGGGACATCACATTCGTCATCTATCCTCATTTTTTCGATGACAAACACTAGTGCAGCGAACAGACCACAAGCAGTTGCTCCATCACTAAGATAATAATAATTGGATAAAATATATTTAAGTAATAAACCACATCGAATTGTATTGTTATATTACTAGCAAGTCAGAAGAATAGGACTCTTTTCAAATTCACTCCCTACAATCCAGTCCCTAACCACTTCCCACAATTGGACAAGGATGTTAGTTCCATGAGGTGCATCTCTTGAAGGCAAGGTCTCATCACTTTTCCAACCTTTCCATTGCATCACCTTAACTTCTGAATGACTTGTGATTATTCACAAGTACATCATAGACTGTGTAGAAGTCGCTATCGCCCTTATTCAAAGTTTTTATAGTAATACGAGGTGATGGTTTCATTTCTTGGTTGATACGAGTTGGTACGAACTTGACCACTGTCTATAAGATTAACATAATATAAATGTTAGAAGACTATTTCATTGACTAACTTACAGGATCCGTTACATCAACTTCGTTAAATACGATCACAATCTTGACTCTCTTGTCAAAGATCATTCTCCAGTAGTCGTCAATAGTTTGTTCCAAAGGAAAATGTGTGACGATGAACTGTTCCTTGGTTTTGAATCCATCCACAAGTACTGCATTTATGTAATCCGAATCAGGATTTGTTAAAATCGCTCGCGTGATGACGACCCTTCCTTTTTTGCCTGTAATAAGAGTAATTTAGGAGCAAATTCAAGTAATGATCATGAAATTCACATACCAGCAATTATATTGTTTCTGTTTTCCGGCCTTGCAATATATTTTGGTTTTGGTTAATCTTTGATTCCTGTAATATAATCGTCTTTCCATGATAGTTGATCTAAAGATTTCCATTGATCAAATAATGTATTGAGAATTTTCATCTGGTGAATTGTTTGTTTTAATTGAAAACACGGTATGGCAGTCGGCTTGCCGAATAGAGTTTCCAGAACCGTCATATGCACTAATTTGTACAGATCCTGGATTAAAAAAAGCCATTAGATGAAATTGTCGTTAATTATTTTGCTCATCCGTTTTACCTCAGAATTAACGAGTTTTGCTCTTTGTTTTCGAATTTGGTTCAGATAATGCAAAACGTCTATTTTATCAGTCGCACGTGCCATGTTGACGCAAATATCTGCCAGAGTGATGGTACCAGTTCTGCCATCGTCGGCACTGAAAGAAACAAAAAGTACTAAAAACTATAGTAAATAAGATTAAGTATTCAAATAAATTTAACCTGCAGTGAACCACTTTTGGACCATTTTGTGATGAAACCTTCTGAAACTCTGCCAATAATGGAACAAGAGAATCCGCATACCGAGTTGTTTCGTACTCGGGCCAAGCAGTATAATGCAGATGTACAACCTAGAAATTGATGTTAATATTTACTACATCCTTAAATTAACACGAAATTCGACTCTCCTTTACTAACCGAAGATCGTTCATCTCCAGAGCTAATCAACAATTTTCTGACAACATAATCACCGCAGCTTTTCATGATTTCAACATTGGTTATCGTGATCTTTCCATATCGTTTGCTTGTTTTATCTATTTCGGGCCAATATTGGAAGCATTTTTCCTGAATTTAAAATAAATATAACGGAAAATCACCAAGAACTACTAAGAATATATAACTTTGCATCCTTACTAAATTCTTTTCCTGAAATTGTGTCAACATGCAGATGACTGAAACTTTTTCCTGCAAAATCATTCGCCAGAAGTCGTAGGCAGTATTCTCCTTTGGCCCTTGGGTCGCAATATACTCCCTGGGCCTTTCAAAACCCTAAACAAATTTCATATATTAGACATTTTTTTGTTTTAGATATTGTTATTTGTAATGTTGCTCACATTGATGTAACTAGCGTTGATGCAATCAGAACAAGAATCTTTCGGAAGTGGATTCAGTTTTACTCTTGTTTTGTCATCTGAAAGGGAATAAAGAAAATATCAATGATAATCGTATCATCATTAAAAATATCGATACCTACATGGCAAAGTGTGA